CGTTGTATTTAGCGGATGGATTTTTGCAAAATCGCCTGCCGTGATTCGGAGGGTTCAACTATGGCTATTGTAAGAACCACATGGAGTTATTCGTGGGTTCTACTGATCCCAAGCTGTGGGCAAGGATCATAAAAGGTCCACACGAGCTCAAAGCAGATAAAGAAAAGTGGAATGAAGAGGATTACGAAAATTTCCAGCAGAATTGCAAAGCGACCAACCTGATGTATTGCGCGCTTGGACCAGAGGAGTATCACAAAGTGGCTGGGTGCAAAACTGCCAAAGAGATATGTGACAAGTTGCAGGTCACATATGAAGGTACCTCCCAGGTTAAAACCTCCAGAATCAATTCGTTAAAGCATCAGTTCGAATTATTCAAGATGGAGGAAGGTGAAACAATCAGACAAATGTATGAGAGGTTCACAAATATAGTGAACAACTTGGAGAATCTAGGAAAATCCTATAAGAGGCGACCTTGTGAGAAAAATTTTATGGAGTCTGCCTGAAAAATGGACTCCTAAGGTAACAACTATTGAGGAAGCAAAGGATCTGTTAAAACTACCAATCAATGAGTTAATTGGATCTCTTGCTACGAACGAAGACTAGTTAAACAAGGCAAATGTTCGGAAAGAAGGCAATGATAAAGGGAAGAGAGGGGCCGCATTCAAGGCAACCAGTTTGGTTGATGAATATGAAGAGCTCGAGGATATGGAAGATGAAGAGCTTGCTCTGTTAAGCAAGCAAATTAGCAGATTACTCAGAATTCGGAGAGAAAAGAAGCTTGGAGGTCCAAAGACTAAAGAACAAGAAAGAACTGAAGGGGTATTGAGTCCAGGGCAAACAAAATTATTTGGAAGAGGTAGAAATGAGGCGAGTCAAACCTTGAAGGGAGTAAATTCAACTGGATGTTTCAAATGCGGAAGAGCTAGACATATTAAAGCCGAGTGTCCTCAACTCAGGCGAGAAAAAGCATATGCCACTACCTGGAGTGGCAGTGAAGACGAAGGGGAAGATGAGGATGAAGTAACGGTGCATAGGTCATACATGGCAATTGCTGAGGAAGAGGAGCAACGATTCGACAACACTACATCACAGGTAAGTATTTCTGACCTAAACAATGCTATTGAATATGATAGTGATTATGAGCTGTTGGTTCAAACCATAAAGGATATTCAGGTAGAATTTGGAAATGTTAAGGTAAAATACTGTAAACTGAAGAAGGAAAATGAACTTAACTTAGAAAAAATAGATGACCTAGAGAACAGATTGAAATCTAGTGAATGTAGAGAGGATGAACTCAAGGATAAATTGCAGCAGGTCAAATTTGAAAATGAAAATCATATTCTTGAGTGTCTAAATTTAAAAAACCAACTTCAGGAATATTTAAATCAACACAGGGGTCGTGATCAATGTAAATCAGTAAATGTTGAACGACTAAAGAAGACATAATGCTTTTACTGTCACAAAAGGGGGCATCTGATAAAAGAATGTAAAAACAGAGTATGGTCAGAAGCTAGGAAAAGTAAGCTGGCTGCTAATACTCATACATGGAATGGTCATAACAGAAGCAGTTATAAATATACAGAACTCAAACCTAAAAGAGTATGGGTTTGAAAAACAACTTGAATTTTGTTTGTGCAGAGTTGTCTTCAAGTGAGCATGGAGACAACTAAATGGATCATGGATAGTGGGTGCTCACATCATATGACAGGTAACAGGTATCTCTTCTCAAGTCTTGATCTAGGTATTTTTGGTAAAGTGTTTTTTGGTGACAATAAATCTGCTAAACTCATAGGAAAAGGTGTTGTTGGATCTAACCCTTCTATCAAGAACGTTATGTTAGTAGATGGGTTAAAACATATTATGATGTCTATTAGCCAGATATGTGGAAAGGAGTGCAGAATCATATTCGAACCAAGTTGCTGCTACGTTGACAACATCAAAACAAAACACATTCTTTTCACAGGAAAGCGAAATGGAAAGATTTATACCATTGATCTAAATGACAAAGATAGTTTTAATGAAATGTGCTTGGTCAGTCTAGACAAAAATGTGCAGTTGGAATGGCATAAGCATCTAGGACATGTGAGTGTCTCTATTCTTTCTAAACTAGCTCGGCTTGATCTAGTTAGAGGGCTTCCAAATATAAAGTGAAAAACTATAGTTTTTTTGTGATGCATGTGCTAAAGGAAAACATACTAGATCCAGTTTCAAGAGTAAAACTGTCATCTCCACTTCTAGACCTTTAGAGTTACTCCACTTAGATCTTTTTGGACCCACAAACGTTGTCAGCTATGGAGGGAAATCTTATCCGTTTGTTGTAGTATATGATTTTTTAAGTTTCACGTGGATTATGTTTCTATCTAAAAAGAATGAAGCTTGATAAAACGTCTTGAAAATGAAAATCAGACAATGTTGCTAGCATTCACAGTGATCATGGGGGAGAATTCTATTATGATCCTTTTGAAGAATTTTGTAATGATCTTGGAATATTTAACAACTTCTCTGTTCCTAGAACCCCGCAACAAAACGGAGTAGTTGAAAGAAAAAATAGAACATTGATAGACATTGCACGAACTATGTTTCATGAATATGGTTTGCCTAAATACTTTTGGGCTGAGGCCATTAACACTACATGTTATGTAACTAATCGTGCCTTAATAAGATCTGGAATAAACAAAACACCTTACGAAATTTGGAAAGGAAGACAACCAAACTTAGGATATTTTCATCCTTTTGGTTGCAAATGTTATGCTTTAAATACTAAGGACAATCTGGGGAAGTTTGATGCTAAATCAGATGAGGCTGTCTTCTTAGGGTATTCTAATTCTAGTAAAGCTTATAGGGTGTTTAATAAACGGACTCTCAAGGTAGAGGAGTCCGTCAATGTGATATTTGATGAGGGTACTTCTAAGCATTTAGGGTTCTTGGATGACGATGATGACTTTGGGCTTGGGAGGAATTACTTGAAGGTAGAGCAAGTACATCCTGAGGTCTTGCAGGACAAGAGCTCCTTATCAAATTCTGGAGCGATCGAAAAAGAAACTCAGTAGGATAGTTCCGAGAGTCATATTGCAGTAGATGGAGGAAAAGAACAAGAGCAGCAAGGAAGTCAACCTCCAGTCCATATACTGAAGAGACATCCTACTACTCAAATCATTGGGGATCCCAATCAAGGTATGACTATCAGATCTCGAGTATTACCTTCGCATACTACTTCTGTCTCCCTAATTGAACCAAAAAATGTTCATGAGGCCCTTCAAGATGAATTCTGGACAACCTCAATGTTTGATGAAATGCATCAATTTGAAAGAGCTAATGTGTGGGAATTAGTTCCCAAACCTGAAAACAGGGTAATTATAGGAACTAAATGGATTTACAAGAATAAATTTGATGAAATTGGCACCATAGTTCGAATCAAGTTGCGATTAGTAGCTCAGGGTTATTGTTAGGAAGAAGGGATTGATTTTGATGAGACTTTTGCACATGTAGCCAAATTAGAAGCCATTAGGATGTTATGTGCTTTTGCAAGCGCCAAACGGTTTAAATTATACCAAATGGACGCTAAAAGTGCCTTCCTAAATGGGGATCTAAAAGAAGAAGTGTACGTGGCTCAACCACTAGGTTTTGAAAATCACCAGTTCCCCAATCACGTGTATAAATTAAAAAAGGCCCTGTATGGTTTGAAACAGGCTCATAGAGCCTGGTATGACAAACTTAGTTCTTTTCTTTTAGAAAATGGATTTCGCAGAGGGCTGGTAGATAAAACCTTGTTCATTAAACAAACACCGAAACATATTTTGCTTGTTCAAGTATACGTTGATGACATAATCTTTGGTGCCACCTGTGAAACTTTGTGTAAAGATTTTGAAACTAAAATGAAAGGAGCTTTTCAAATGAGCCTGATGGGTGAATTAAATTACTTTCTGGGTCTTCAAATTAAGCAAACTTCCGCTAGAATTTTCATCTGGCAAACAAAATATCTTGCAAACATGCTCAAACGGTTTAACTTTGGTAACTTACAGTCTGCTCCTACTCCAATGGCTTCGTCTATCAAACTAGATAAGGATGAGTCAGGGGTTGCTGTGAATGACAAGTTCTATAGAGGACTAATTGGGTCATTACTTTATCTCACAGAAAGTAGGCCTGATATCATGTTTAGCGTGTGTGTGTGTGTGCGCGCTAGGTTTCAAAGCACTCCTAAGGAGAGCCATTTGTCTGCAGTCAAGCGCATTTTCAGATATCTGAGTGGGACATAAAGACTAGGGATGTGGTATTAATGTTATTCTAGCCTAGAGCTCATAGGGTATTCTGATTCTGACTATGCTGGAAGCATAGTAGATCGAAAAAGTACATCAGGAACTTGCCACTTCCTAGGTACTTCTCTAGTGTCTTGGTTTTGTAAAAAATAGAATTCGGTCGCTCTTTCAACTGCTGAAGCTGAGTTTATTGCAGCTGAGTGCTGTTGTACTCAACTTCTGTGGATGAAACATCAGCTGCAAGATTATGGCCTTCAATTGGGTTATGTTCCCATTCTGTGTGACAATACCAACACAATTAACATGACCAAAAATCTCGTTCAACACTCTCAAACCAAGCATATCAATATTCGATATCACTTCATTAGGGACTTAGTTGAAGAAGGAGAAATCATTCTAGAATTTGTGCCCACGGCTTTCCAATGGGCGGACATTTTCACAAAGCCCTTAGAATCTGAGTCTTTCTTAGCTATTCGACGGGAATTGGGGATGTTCTCCTGGACTGATTTGGAAACTCTCCAGTAAGGCAAGAATTGTGTGAGCAAACACTATTCTTTAGCCTCAAGCAATTCTATCAAATGTTTTCTTACCTTTTTCGTCTCTGAAGATCCCTCGTATCTCTCAAAATTAGACGACAATGTTACCCCTTTCTACTTCGTCCTTCCATTCGTCTACCTTCCTCATTCAATATGGCGTGGTCTCTACATTGTCCGTTACTATATAACTCGGCCTTTCAACTTACCTCGAGCCATCATTCTTAAACCTCCCAGTATAGGCAAAACTGTCTTAGTTTTCTTCCCCTCTCTTTACACAATGGCAACTGTCAATCCCCATGTGGCTCTTCAATTAGCTCAGGCAGCCATCTTCAATGGCAAATGCTTTGATAGCGTTGAGGCCTGCTCTCGCTGCCTTCGCAATTTCCAGGATTGTGCTCTGTGCCCCTCTGTTGCACTAGCTCCTTCGACCTTTAACAGGTATGGAATGGATGTCCCTGCCTTGATAGAGTCTCTTGGCTGGACTGATGTTATTCAAGATCAACACTTTGGCTATCGTCCAGAGGCTGTTCGCATGTTCTATGCCAACATGAGGCCTTTCTTCAACACCATTCCACCATCGTTCACCACTGGGTTCAACTACTTGATCACAATCAATGTGGAGTTGTTGTCTCTCCTTCATGGAATTCCCATCCTGAGCTGAAGTCATGTATATTTCTGACTTTCAAGAGGCAGGGTTCAATGAAGTCGAGGCCCTCCGTCGCTATACTCGTGACACTGGTCGGGCTTATCCGAATTTCCTTACCTCAGGTCGCCTTCCTGATGATCTTAAAGTCCTGCACTTCTATATCACTCGTGTGTTTCTCCCTCGATCGTATGGTCGCTCTTCCATCCATCCAATAGATCTCTGGATTCTGGCAAGTGCCAAGGAAAATCGTGCCATTAGCTATCCACATCTCATGTTTGGTCACATGGTGACTTACTATGATGACAATTATGATGGGGATCTACCTTTTGCCCCCCCAAATTACCTTGCTGCTGCAAGCTCTAGGGGTTGATCTCCGCTACAAGGTCTCCCGTGCGGATGTGATTAATCGTCTCCATGCCCAGTTTGTTCGCAAGATTGATGCTGATGTGGGACGTCGTCGCCCTCGAGTCAATGCTCCTGGGGGAGACAGGGATGCTCATGTAGTTCCTCTACGTGAGGATGGATTAATCCTTGCAGATCTGGTTGATGATAGCACAACGAGTTCCAGTGGAGTTAAGTAGACTTCGGCTGAGGATGAGGGTCACAATTTCAACAACGAAGAAGACGATATCTCTGAGTATGTGTCCTCACCAGACTATCCGTTCTAAGGGTAGTGGTGCTAGTCTGAGGGGGAGTCCGGCTAAGGGGGAGTTTTGCGATCTAGTTAGGGTGTCCTTGTTTTCAATAAAATTCCGACTCATCAGAATGGTGTTTGGTTTGGTTGATTAGTTTTCTGTGTGTTTTGGTTTTGAATAAAATTCTGTTTCGACAGATTGGAAGTTTGTCTAGTTAGTGTTCGAATGTTTGTGTGTGATTTGCCTGAGTAAAGCAAAGTAAGGGTTCTGTAATTCGATTTTATCTCTTGTACAAGTTGGAATAAAAGTTTGAGTTTTGGAGTCATATGTTTGGAACAGCCTGCACGTTATGTTTGTTTAAGTGTGTGCAGGAACTACATTTGCAGCAGGAAGGGATCATTGACTGGCTGCGTGTGATTATGAAGAGCAAGGGAAAGGAAGATCAGAATCAAGCAATTGAGAATATCTCATACAAGAAGAAGAGGAAGGTTTTTCAAATTGATAGAGGAGTTTCCAAGTTTGTGGGCAACGACCTGCGTGTGATTAGGAGTTTTGGAAGGCGGTCAATAGCTACCATTTTGAGGACTAACGGCTAATGACAAGTCAATATAAAAGGTGATGCTGAAGAAGGAGCAATATACTTTTTGGGCAATCAAGATTGACAGAGAGCTAAGGGAATTGCTAGTAGTCTTGATAGAAAAGTCGATCTAGCACTTGATTGGGGAAATTGGGGCAAGAGATTGTTCGGAAGAACTTGTGTAGCTGGATAGCTGTGTGATCGAGTGGGTAGACAGGTTTCTATTTACTCATCCAGGATTGGATCGACTGAACTTCACAGGAGTGTAACTCAAATTCAAACCATCAGAGATCGGAGCTATAGTGGATCGTCGGAAATCACAAAGCAGTGATTCTCCGCCCGTGGACTAGTCGGTAGTGCTTTCTTTGACCTACCGAAAACCACGTAAAAATCAGACGTGTCAACTTAATTTTCTGCTATTCCTATTACCTTCACGGTGTCTCTGTTTTGCCAGGTTTAGGTGCAGGGGAACCTTTCATCGTCGAGGAAGAAGAAAGAGTTGTAGGTTGTGATCAAACCAATCTCTCAGACCTAGTGAATCCTGTGAATTTGGGAATCAAGTTCAGCCAATTTGGGCCGATAACTAAAGCCCGAAAGTGAACAACCTTGTCTCTCTCCCTCGACTTTCTTGTGCCATCTTACTTACCTGTTTAAAAACTTTACCTTTTCTTTCTCTAACTTCATTTCTAGGGTTTGTTAGTTTTAAGCGTAGCAGGAACTCAAAGTACGAAAATTTGCAGAGGAATCTCGCGCTCGATTCCGTTAACAAGTATGTGTTATGAACCTATGATATTAGGTTTCATCTTTTAATTTTAGTTAGATAAAAGGTTAAACCAACACACTTCTTAAACTTGAACCGTTTGGAAATGCACAAGAAATGAACGAAATGCTCTTTGTTTAACTTAACCGAGGTGAAAAAGGTTAAACTACAACCACAACTTCAAAAGTACAGCTACTAAATAACAACGACACGAAAATTCATATATGACAATGGATGCTATGAAACCACAACGATTAGAGGACCGATCGAACACACACCATCATTGCTCAACACAACAAAACCGCACAACACATAACCTTGATTAGTTCCCGTTTCATCAATGTCCCCCTTTTTCCGATGAGAAGGTAGAGGATTGTTGACACTCTGCCATTGGAGACGTCTCATACCTCATCGCACAACTCACAAGACTGATCTGGGCGCCGTATTGATCGTGGCATATGTTATAGTTCAGCAACTGGTCCTGGGCGTAGACAAGACAGGCCTTGCAGTCCTCCCGAGAGACGGAGCCCAAACAGTTGGCCCAAGCATAAATGATGGGCTTCTCTTCGGTCTCGGTGCAGTCTGGGCCGGCGGGCCGTGTCATGTTGATGGCTCTATCTGTGGCTCTTCTGGCTTGAACCTTCTTCAAAACGCTGGCATCATGGTCCCATCCGCAGTAAGCCGAGATGAGAGTCAGGTCTGGATCGCCTTTAACAACGACGTTTTCGTGTACTACTCCCGTGGTAGCGATCAGTACGAATAGCAAGGGAAGGAAGAAGGGTATGAAGGAATAATTAGCCATGTCGATGAAGGGTTTTTGTTGATGGGACTACTTGGTTGTTTGATGATCAATTTATACTACAACAATGGAAGGGTGGATTTGTAAATAAGAGAATGTAGAGAAGTTGATCACAATTTTTATATGTTATATTTTTTTTATAATGGACCAAATCAAAGAAAGGTCAACTGTTTTAGGCTTTTAGCAATTGACCAAATTAATAATAGGTCAAGTATTTAAATAACCATTTTGTTGTGACCCACGTCCACTTAGCTAGTCTTTATAACCCTTTAATAATGTAGGAATTTCTGCCTTCCTAATTACTAATTAGGGCAAGGGTGGGTCGGTACGTAATAGGACTTGGCAGGGGAACAAAGTTCATAGTAAGTGGATGGTACAATCCACTTAGGATTTGGATAGTTACAATATTGCAATACGATAGTAACTATGAGTTTGGATGGTCACGATCCCTCGTATTATTCGAAAGGTGTGTTAGTGTTGTGGTATATGATCCACGATTGAACCTCTCTCAACAACTCGAGTTATTTGGAGGTCCTGCTTCTTGACATGGTATCAGAGTCTTCTGTGACCGAGAGGTCTTGTGTTCGATTCCCGGTGACCCCCATTTGTTAAGCACATGATATTCTTGTCTTCAAACCTGTGCAAACTTCAAGCCCTTGTGAGTAGCTTTCGTTTGAGGGGGCGTATTAGTGTTGTGGTATATGATCCACGATTGAACCTCTCACCATCCATTCTTCTATTTGAATGGTAATTTCGCACTTGATCAGAGGACACAAAATAATGACCCAACCCGATAACTATCCTAATTCGTTATGCACGAGATGGACTATTTAAAGCAGTTTATTTGTTCAAAGACCACCCACGTAATATTTTTTAGGACCAATAATCATATTTGGTTGTAAATATCAAGGCTTGAACATACAATTCATATGGTAAATGTCAGAGGTGAACAAGAGTTTGATCTAACGTCGTACCTACTGAGGTAATACCAAACAATATCCCTTCGATACTATATAATGCATTGCAAACGAGGCCAGCTTAATTGTAAATTGTTTTTGTCTTTACCGAGAAACGTAGTTCATTGTCATCTACAAATGATATTCATTTGTTTTTCGGTCGCCCGGTTAAACTGCATCGAAACCGAAAACCGGCCGGTCGGTCTGCAGCTAACCGAGGCTGGAGGACGGTCGGTTGGCGACAGCGGTTGGTGTTAGAAACAAAGTTTCTAACGGGTTTGAGAATTGTGAAAATAGCTAGATCAATTAGGGATTGACCGAGCTAGAGATTAGAATTTAGAGAATTGGGACAAAGAGAGGGAAAGGGGGGGGGGGGGGGGAATCGGCTGCTGCCGAGTTGGAAGAGGAAGGGGGAAAGGGACGCATGAAGAGAGAAAGAGAGAGAGAGAGAGTAGATTTTAGGTTTGTTGGTATTTTATTGCTTAATGTCAAAATAACACCCTACTGCACATTATATATCCGCCAATTCCCTACCTCCTACCCAACTAATAAAATGTAACAATTGACTCCCTGTTTATTGCTAAATACCCCAAATAATCCCCTAATTATCAAAGACCGACAATAATACGAAATAACCAAAAGCTGTAAATTATTTGTTTATAACATCCCTGCCTCCTTGGGAAGCAACCTTGTCCTCGAGGTTGAAGCTTCTCGTGCCCCACTCCAGAGTCCTATGCGACTTCATCCTCGGCCTCATCTTCCCAACGCCCCACCAAGAACATCAGATCAGGCTTCCCGCATTTGTGACCAAAGGTGAACCTCTCGTCACAGTTAAAACATTTTCCTTCTCGCCTCTTCTGCTCGATCTCAGCAGGAGATAGCCTAGTAAATCCCTTGGGCAGTGCCCTCGGTCCCGCTCGAATGGCCGCGGTGGGTGGTCCAATCGTCGCACCCCCTCCCGTGCTCGGACCCGTCGCCGGGACCCCCTACCCGCTACTCGGCCCGCTTCCACTTCCTCCTCCGCTCGCCTTCTGATATCGGCCTATCAGGCCCCGCCAACTAGCCAGTTCCTCCTCCTTATTACCTGCAAGACGGAAAACAGCTCGTAGTGAATCTGGCTCAAATACCCGGACAGCAGCTGCAATCTCCGGACAGAGTCCCGCCATGCATAGGCCCACCAATGTCTCTTCTGGAACGCCCTTGCATTGGTTACCCAATTTGAAGAACTCGGCCCTATACTCCGCCACCGTCCCTGTCTGACGTAGCTTGGCCAGCTGCTCCGGAGCCCACCCTTCAGATTTTTCGAACTGATACTGCAACTCCTCCTTAAACATAGGCCAAGTGATTAGCGTATGAGCTTCTGCATAGGTCCGCTCCATCCACTCCCACCACTGCAGTGCATCTCCCTCCAGGTAGAAGGAGGCTAGCTTAGCCTTCCGTTCTTCCCTAGTGGGGTGGTTCTTGAACCATCGTTCAGCTGAGTACACCCACAGCCCTGCATCCTCACGACCATTGTATTTCGGGAACTCAATGGTGGGAGGCCGAGCTCGAAACACCATATCATCCTCTTCCTCCCCTCCCGGGAAATAACCGGCATTTCTTCCACCGCTTGGGCCCCCACTGTGGTAGTCCTGCGTGAACCGTGGGTCCCCGTCGCACCCCCAGTTATCCCCTTCATCCTTCTGGTACCCCGCTCTCCCGCCTAACTCACTCCTCGGCCTTCGATCCCCCATCCACGTCCTCCTGGATTCCTTCCCGACGCCTCGTTGAATTGCAGAAGAAGGAAGGGACCCACAGTACTCGTCGAACTGGCCTTGCGGACCTGGGTAACCCCTGCTGCCCGCCTGGTTTGGATATCCCGATGGCTGGACCGGTTCGACCATGGTCCGACCGGGTTCGGTTCGACCAGGCTCGGTTCGACCGGGTTCTGTCCGACCAGGCTCGGTCCGACCGCCGGGGACCCGACTCGTCCCTGCTCGACCCCCATCACCCCGGCCCGGTTGGGTTCGGCCCGCTGCCCCCGGCCGCCCCGACTCCCACCCGCGGCTCGTCTCCCTCCAGCTTCCTCCCGGCTCGCCTTCCCACCGGGCTCGGCCCACCAGGATGCCCTCCTCCCTTCTGCCATCCGCGCCCAGGCCACACTGCTCATTGGGTCATGGACCGCGATCCATCTCCTGCTCCGGATCCACCAGCTCATCCCAGTTCAGGCCCGCTTGCAGATCCGGATCCACATACTCGGCCAACTTGGCCTTGCCACGCGCGCGAGCCACCTCTTTGGCCGATGGGGTAGGCAAAAGCCCATCCTTGCCCGCCGGGCCGAAAGAGACGTGGCCCGTACGCAAAATAGGGGGTCGGCTAGGGTTGGGCGCCGCCGCCCCTCCTCCCGCCGAGACCCGCTCGGCTCCCTGGACGCCGTCCACCGCCACCGAGGCAGACTCCTCCTCCGCCGCGCCTCTCTCCTCCGGCGGCTTCGCGCCGTCGCCAGCTCCTGTCCCGCCTCTCTTCCAAGCCTCCGTCAGACTGCTCACCTGCCCCTGCAATGCCTCCACAGCCGCCAACAACGCGTCGAGAGTGCGGCCATGGTCTCGGGCTTGCACCTGCAAACCATTCAGCTCCTCCTCGACCCTCGCCTGCCTCTCTACCTGCGTCTCCACGACTTTCCTCAGCCCTTCGATCTCCGTGAGATCCTCTAACTCCCCGTGGAGCCCTACATCGCCCGCATCGGTGCTTTTCTCGGCTGCCTGAGCCGCCTTCTCTGCTGCTTTCATTGACTTCGTCGATACCATTGCCGCCGTCCCTGGTTCAAGATCTCAAAAGAACTCACTCTCGAGTCAGGCTCTGATACCAGATGTTAGAAACAAAGTTTCTAACGAGTTTGGGAATTGGGAAAATAGCTAGATCAACTAGGGATTGACCGAGCTAGGGATTAGAATTTAGAGAATTGGGACAAAGAGAGGGGGAAAGGGGGGGGGGGGGGGGGGGGGAATCGGCTGCTGCTGAGTTGGAAGAGGAAGGGGGAAAGGGACGCAGGAAGAGAGAGAGTAGATTTTAGGTTTGTTGGTATTTTATTGCTTAATGTCAAAATAACACCCTACTGCAGATTATATAATCCGCCAATTCCCTACCTCCTACCCAACTAATAAAATGTAACAATTGACTCCCTGTTTATTGCTAAATACCCCAAATAATCCCCAAATTATCGAAGACCGACAATAATACGAAATAACCAAAAGCTGTAACTTATTTGTTTCTAACAGTTGGTCGTGTCTCGGTTTAACCGATCAGCTGCCAGCCCTATTTTCTTGTACCTTTTCTTAGAGAGGATATGGGAGGAAACTCCAATACTTTGGTTTAATTAATGAATACAGTTTCCATTAAAAAAAAAAAAAAAACTCCAATGCGGAAGCATCGGGCCTAAGCTCATGAATTAGGTTACCTAAGTTCATGTTATAATATGTTGTTTACCATGTTTTGAGGGTAAAATACCTCGGGTACCACTTAAGTTTGAGAATTGAAGTAGACATACTACTTAACATAGAATTGGGCGTCGGGTACCATTCAAGTCACCAAAAGGCGTCTAGTTTTCCATCCAACCCAAAATTTTAATTATCTTTTGGTACTCAAAACTTTTAAAAACATCCAAAACTATATTTTAATAAGTATTAACTAATATAAATATTAAAAAACTTCTAAACCTAGTATTACTAGAATGACTAATGAAATTTTTCGATAAATTAGTAAAAATAATAAACGAATATCTAGAGGAATAACACTACAAGAAAATTGACTTTTCATCACTGGAATTCCCGTGACTATCCCATTTCGTCACGGATGATTTCCCGTGACAAGCGTGTCCGTGATGAAAGGTCAATGGTCACGGAATGGCCCGTGACAAGTAACGAATAGATATGGTAAATATACCGTGATTAAATTCCCTTTTAGTCACTGGTTATCCCGTGACTGTCCAATAATCACGGGACGTACCCGTGATTGAAAGGCTTTATTTACTCAGGTTTTCCCTCATGACAGGTCGTTTTAACCCCTGGATTTGTTCAAATGATCACAACACTGTCATGCTAAGATTGTCACCATCACTACAGTTTTTCCATCAATAGACACGGATCTTCCATTAATATATGAACATGATGACCATTACATTGCTAAAGATATTTGCTATAATGGCTAAATTAGAAGTGAAATGTAGAATTGATATCCTAAAAAATCGTCCTTAAGGTATATATATGTACCAAAGTTTGGCTTTACAACTGCATATATATATATATATATATCACTTGGCTTGCATCTTTCATGGGCAATATATTGCTATACCATTTGTTGAAGTCACACTTGGAAAAAGCTTCAAGCCTGTATACATCACAAACAACACCATTTTGGAATATAAATATGTGGTTTACACTAAATAAGCCCATTGGTTTATTCACATCATCATATCAATATACCTCACAAGTTAATCAAATGAGACTAGTGAACCAATAATTGAAAACCTTAGCTTCAACAAATATGACTCCACCGTATTAAGTCTCAAGCAACCTGCAAGTGTCTTCACATGATTCATTAGGCTTCTTATATATATGGCATTTTCCACAGAATCCATTAGTTGCAGCAAGTACTCTCTGTTCTTTTCATAAATGGAATTGATAGGATGTATAGGTTATGAGCCAGCAAAATTGTTATAAGAGATGATAGCATGATCCAATCAATGAATCAAATGTTAAATGAATACTGGTGGAGGAGTTTTGCTTGTATGGATGTAGAACTATGACATAGCAAGCACAAAACCAATAACCACATTCTACATCAATGCTTACCTTTGAGTAGAGAAGTGAACCTAAACAAATCCGGCCATCTACGTGCTGGAGTGAAGAGAGCTGAAGAAATCTTATCCCATGTATGGCTGAAATAAAAACCAAATACATTTCCCAACTTAGTCTATTTATTGAAAATTTATGTAAACCTAGAAGCAATCCAGTATTGTTACACGTCAAGTAACAACCCCCTAACATCATATATTCTTTTCCAATTGGAACAGAGCACTCGGCTACCATGGCACATCTACAAACGACCTGAGGAACAAATTGTACTATTTTTAAGAACACCAATTAATCAATCAGCACTATTAAAAGTGAAAACCCAAATCGAGCCGTTAATTAATGAATCTGACACCCCTAATAGTAAGCTAGGAGTGGGAAGCACATCACCAAATGAAGAGCTAGGAGTAGAAATTGAAGCTAGGAAGAGGGATCTGGGGCGAGATCTGGAGATGGGTAGGGGTTTAGGCATCGGAAATTTGGGAAAGCAAATATCGGGGCTTGGTGACAAAGGGTTTGGAGGGGTGGTTTGTTGCGGCAAAAAGTGGAAGCCGGAACCTCACTGGAATCGTTGGCGAATCAAAGATTCAAATCGGGAGGGTCCAAAAAAAATATCAGGGGCGCTGGGCGTCAGGGAATTCTTTAAAGTACCTAATTTTTTGTTTCAAGGGCCAAAAAGTTGTGGCATTTACGACACCTAATTGGAGATTTGTTTGCCTTGTAACAATCCCGAATATGCATGCGCATGTTATCCCCAATTGTCCCCCAGTTAGGCACCTAGTGGTGCATTGGGCGACTAACTAAAGTTACCGACTTGCCAAATTTGATATACGATCTTTTGGTATTTTTTTCCTCCAATTAATTTTTTTGTTAGCAGTTTTGTTAGTAATATTGACTTGACCATATGATATTGACTGAGAAGAGATATATGAAGGTCAACATTTAATTTAAAAAAATTTGAAAATTTTGGCTAGTAAATGATATTTACCTATAATCAAGTAGATCCATTGATTATAGGTAAGTATGGGTGACATATATATGGGTTTGGAAGTTTGTAGATGGGTGACTAAAAGAATTGGTCAAAACCTTTTCATTATCTACTTACTCTTCGTTTCAATTTTTACTCGCCTTCAATTACCCTTTCTTTATTTTTTTCTTTGCATTCTTCGTCTTACCCTAATTAGTATATTATTTTCATGTATTCTAATCACAAGTATGAACGGGTCCATACACGACTGACCAACAGTGTAGAGAATTATAATTGAACCATGAACCATTAACTTTTTTAGCTCAATGTCGAGTCCTATTAAAAATAAATATCTATGGTTATTACTTATTAGAAAGTCATCATTTTCCACTATGAGATTTGAAGGCGTGAAATTTTAAGCGAGTTCTAGTTTGTATTCCTTTTGCTTCTCTCTAGAGTTACATTTATTAGCCAACATTTTTTTTAAAAAAATTTAAATTTGATGTTGACTCGTCATATATCTCTTCTCAGTCAATATCATATTGTCAAGTCAATATTACTAACAAAATTGTTAACAAAAAATTTATTTTATACTAATAATACTAACAAACACTATAAGGCGGGTTAGCTAATACATGCCCAAAGAACTTCCATGTTTCTTTTGAAGAATGTCAATGCCTTCTCTGTTGCCCCCATACTTATCAAGCAGAAGTCTAGTCCAGAGAGTCTCTTCCCTTGTTGCCAGGTTTGCCAATTTTGTGGGACGAATTCAAGCGCCTCCTTGATCTCTTGGAAGATTTAGTTGTTCCCACGCAATTAGGTGAAACTTTCCTTTCTCCTCTTCTTCCCCCAAAATGAACTTCCTGTTAACCCTGTCCAAAGAATTGTAAACAGAGGCTGGGAGTGACTCTGAAAACATTGGGTGTACTCCTGCCATGGAGGAAGAGATTGATCCAGAGTCATGCAATTACTCTCTATTTTTCTCACCCGAATTAATTGTCGGAGCCTTCTGTCACGGCCTTACTCTTGGTCGTGCGGCCCTAGCTCTCAATTCCGTTAGAGATGCTAGGCAGCCTTCTCACAAGCTCTCAAACTCACTCAACTCACAAGAACAAGACACAAGAAGATGGGAGAAACTCTATAGTTGTATTGCTCACAAAAATGATGGATGAGTTACAAGTGAGGGAGATGGCTCCTTATATAGGCCTCTCCTCATACAAGGCATCAATGCCCCTCATAATGTCCCTCTACTACATCAATACACCCATTAAGTCCCCCCCCATTATGCACTCTATAAATGTCACCCATTATGTGACTCATAAGTGCACCATTAAGCTCTCATTTAGGTGGAGAATCCTAGGGGCATCTCTATGCTACTAGTCTTCCATACACGCCACATGTGCAGCCGCCATGTTGTCACCTTGTTGGCGCCATGTCATCTGCCACATGTGCTCCCTTGCCTTAGCTTCATTGCTTGCAAGGTCTCGTTGCACCTTCCTCCAAACCAAGGATGGCCTTGGCTCGCTCTCGAGCCTTGTGCTCCCATGATGTTGCTCACTCCTCCGCGGTCTTCTCCGTCGCGTCTTTGAGTGTCCCGCCTTCTCGATCATGGTGGCCTTTCCTTGCTTCTCTTGGCAAGTCGAAGATGATACATCCTCGTCTCTCATGGCTCCACGATGTTGTGCACTCCTCCTTCTCGTCCTTCTCCAACGAGTCTTCGAGTGAGTCTCTGCCTCCACCGTCGTTGCCACTTCTCGCTGCTCTTGCCTTGCCAAACACCTCTTGTTTGACTCGAGTTGCTCTCTTGTCATGGGAACCGATCTTGCTCCGCCATTGATGCAGAATCTATTGGCGTAGGGAATCGGGAAAGCTTTCTCCCGCACCATGAACTCCGTGCCGATGATGACCTGATAAGCATCCAACGACACAACCTCAAAGTCCGCCACCCCGGTCCATCCTCCAAGCTTGAGTGGCACTTGGCGCGCTACTC